AGTCGTAGCTGCTACAGTCCTGAAAGGCCAAGCCGTAGCTGCTACAGTCCTGAAAGGCCAGGTCGTAGCTGCTACAGTCCTGAAAGGCCAAGTCGTAGCTGCTACAGTCCTGAAAGGCCAAGTCGTAGCTGCTACAATCCCGAAAGGCCAAGTCGTAGCTGCTACAGTCCTGAAAGGCCAAGTCGTAGCTGCTACAGTCCCGAAAGGCCAAGTCGTAGCTGCTACAGTCCTGAAAGGCCAAGTCGTAGCTGCTACAGTCCCGAAAGGCCAAGTCCACAGGCTTCCGGAAGGTCCGGAAGTGGCCTCTCGAGTTTCTCCTCACGTTTTACACAGTAGGCCAGAGGCAAGTGGGCAAGTGGTGCGTCCAACTTCGCTTAGTCAGCGGTACCCAGTCACAGTCTCACTTTGCACAGTCAGCAAGTACCATGAGGGACTGTGTGCACCATGGGCCCTGTGGAAAGAGGCAGACCAACGAGCTAGAGAAGTATAAATCAAGAGGCAGCGCCCAGCCATGAATGCATTCTGCGGGGTGCCATGCGGAAATGCTGCCCGAGCGTTTGTGCGACGTGGTCTGCAGGGGCCCGAGGTCGAAGTGGGCAGAGGGGAAGTTAGCTGTTAGTGGTAGAGTTAGCAGGCGGCCATAGCCGCCAGGTTAGTAGTAGTAGTGTGTGTGTGTGTGTGTGTACAGTGAGTGTGCACGTGTGGGGTATTCAGGGTGATCCAGAGTGGAGTGCGTGTGTGCGACAGTGTTGGACACAGTGACAACAGCGGATGTACAAGGCGCCTGTATGCCATAGCTTGTGGGACGAAGTTTGCATCTGAACTGTGTTCGCGACTTCCATATCTCTGAGTTTTGAGTGGGCGCCTAGCGCCAGCCTGTTTGCCATTTGTTGTATGCATGCAAGTTGATGAATAAAGAGAGTCTGATTGCATTGGTATCGGAGCTGGTACCCGTTACTTCGCGCGCCATCGTTGTCAGACGCCATAGCTGAGCTGCGCCAAGAAGAAGGAAGGTTCACCATAGCCGCGCCGTCGACGAAGAAGATTGTCCGCCGTAGCTGTGCTGCGGAAGAAGGCTCCGCGTACCTGCAAGCAGGGACAATGAAGGTGAAGGCGGACATAGCCGGGGGTGATGAAGAAGACAAAGGTGATATATATAGGCGGCGACAGCCATAGCCGAGTTGGCCGACGACCTTCGCGTTGACCAAGGAGTTGACTGAGCGTTGACCGGAGGTTTGACCAGTGCTGACCAGCGTTGACCAGGCGTTGACCGGAGCTGCTGACCACGAGATTGACCAAGCTGGAGTTGCTATATTCTCGCCAAGCCTTCAGCCTATTCCCTCGCCCTATGGATGTGCACTTACCCCATGGTACTTGCTGAGTCTGTATGTCTCTTCTTTTTGCATTGAGTCTCTTCTGTCTAGGTGATAGGAACTCCGTGGACGAAGGATAGAGCTGCGTTGACCAAACCCACACGGGCTGAGTAGGGCTTAATTCCGTGTCTGACGACCGACACGTCCCGGAGGACAAACCCTCCCAAGGACCGGTACTGACCGGCGGACTGAACGGTGTGGCACGGGCGGCCCAAAATCCGAGTTGTGGGCTGCACAACCAGCTGTCTAAGTGGTGAGAGGACTTGCTGATCGCGTCGTCCTGTCTGCGACGTTAAACAATTTTTGAGTTATTGGGGGATCTCCTTAAATGCTTCCTGATCAGCGAAGAAGTCCTCTAGTGACAGCTTAGAAGTAGGTCTAGGCTATAGACCATAGCTAACAGAGTCTGAACCAGAGTGAAAGCCAGGTGGGATTGACCGCAGGTGCTGGGCATCTGGGTCTGGTTTGTAAAGGACAGTGGTGGCGAAAGCTTCCGTCGGCCGTGGTAACCTGGCTGGATAGAAGGGGTGAGATTCTGTGGTCCGTAGAGAGTCATTCAGTCAGTTGAGTGGGTAGGTCTAAGTGGTGAGGAGTGGGACAGTTTTGTCGTGCACCTGGACACCATGGACGACTACCCGATGTACAGCGTGCTCATGGGGTTCTCCCTCTGGGGGACCCTCTGGCGTCTTCTCTTTCCACTGGGATTCTGGCACACGATTGCGTGTAGAGTAGAGACGAGGAGTGGTGCGGGCACCACTCCTTACACCCAAGCGCAGGAGGAGGAGGCAGCGAAAATTCTGGCCGAGCAGAAGGCCAGGAAGGAGAAGAAGGAGTTGGTCAAGCAGGCTAAGAAGATTGCCCTGCAGCAGGAGCAAGCCGCCAAAATGAAAAAGTTACAGGAAGAGATGGAGAAAGTGAAGGAGGAGGAAGAAAATATGAAGGTTGTGGACAGAGAAGAGGTGGAGGAAGAGAAGGAGAAGCAGGCAGAAGCAGAAGAGATTCCCCTGATAAGAAGGTCAGTGAGAGAAAGGGGGGAATCTAGTGGCACGAAGGGGGACCCATGGATAGAGAAGAAGGTGACTGAGTGGGTTGCCAACTTGTCACTGGGGGAAACCGAGGAGGCGATGCTATACGTTCCCCTAGACGAACAAGAGGCGGTGATAAAGGAAATAGAGGCCGAAGCAGATCCTCTTAAACGTCAGACGATAGAGGAGGAGAAGAAGTTGGAATGGAGATTGCCTCTGACTAGGGAGAAGAAGAGGAGGATGGAGGAAGCTGAGAAGGTGGCGAGAGAATTACAAGAAGTCAAACAGCAGAGAGCTCAGCTAGAAGCGCAGGCAGATATACAGGGGAAGATGGATGTAATGGCTAGGAATATAGAATGTCTGGCAAAGGCCGTTGACGAACAACAGTTCTTTGCCAGAAGCCAGGACGTCACGTTACGATCGATCCGTCTAGGCTTTCGAGAGTTCGCAAGGGACATGATGGTCCATGTAGGCACGGAGATGAAAGCTAGACTAGAAAACACAGAGCGATTCTGCACTGGCGCCATTGAAGGTGCCCAGTTAGCTGCGCCTAAGGAGGAAGAACGGCGTCCCCGTAGAGAGCCAGTAAAGGTGAAGTTCCCTGATCCATATAGTGGGAAGAGGGAGGAGAACTTCGATAATTGGGAGGCGAATGTGACCTCATATGTTCACTTACAGATGATTTCCCCTGAGGAACAGGTCCTCATCGCCTTCCACGCTCTTAGGGATGAAGCCACCAGTTTTGCGAGATCGCTCTGTCGTGCAGCCAACTGCAATAACGACATGGTCGCATACTCTCAGTTTACACCCCTGAACGACTTCTTCAAGTTATTGTGCGAAAGGTTTGCAGATGTCACACGAAGCGTTAGAGTTTCTGACAAGCTGCAGACCATCCACACTCGCCACTGGAAGAGTGCTAGGGCACTCAAAGGGGTGATGGATGAGCTGGTCGCCGTCCCAGACCATGGGGTCACAGAGACCCAGTTGGTCAATCTGTTCTATTGTGCCATGCCCGAGTCTTTACACAGGCACTTCTTTGAGAAGAGTGGGGATCCTGCCATGACCTATGATACGTTAAGTAGGGAAGTCGTGGCATTCGAAGCGCAGTCCATGCCAGTTACGCCCAGCGCTGAAGACTACTGCTAACGCTACTACTACTACTGCAACGCTCGTCTAGAGTGCTGCTGCCGAATCCTGAAGACTGCCTCCTGCCTCCCGCACGTGAAGTGCCTGGGAAGTTCCTATGAACTACCTCGTGACTGTCTGCAGCCTGTAGGGCGGGCCAGTCTTATATAGTGCTGGCCCGTCCAGGAGGCTGCTCTTGCCAATGCCAAAACGTGCCAGACCCTGGCGTTGAAGTTCAACCAAGGGTTGTCTTGAAAACAGGCCAAAAATGGCCTGTGCTAAAACCCTGGTTTGGTGCCTAAGTTTCAGGGCAGGTAGATCTTATGAGGGCCTGGAAATGCCCCTCCATTTCAGCCTGAAAAGACTCAGGGCCTGGAAGTCCCTGTTTTAGGCTGAAACGACATAGGGCCTGAAGGTCCTCGTTTTCAGGCTTCCAGGCTGAAATGACACAGGGCCTGTAAGCCCTTGTTTTCAGGCTTTTAGGCTGAAAACACTAGTCGGGCCCTGCAGGCCCGTGTGGCTGCACAGTATGCCACAACCGCACGTTTGTGCCTGGGTGGTTGTGCATGCCTAACCAATTCGGTCCCAGACCACTCTCTTGGTCTGGGCGCAGACACTTTGGCCCAAACACGAAGCTAGAAGGTACACGTGCTGTCTAGCCCACTAGCGAACTGGGCGAGCACTTTTCAACTAAGAAAACAACATTCGACCATACGAAAGAGCTGGCCGGGCATTTGGCAAGGGGGCACTTGCTGTGCAAGTGGCAGCGTTGCTGGAGCTAGCGCTAGTGGGCTGCTAGCTGGCACAAGCAGTGGTGCACGTTCGCGCGCGGACGCGAGAGGTAGCAGGGCGCTCCTGAGGGCAGCGCCATAGCCAGCCCATCCATAGCCGGGTTCGGCTTGGAAGGCCGGCGGAGGTGGTGGTGGTCTTCGTGTTGAAGGGAG